CCTTGATCTGATTGGTTTTAGGCGGTCTTTCCTATTTGAATAATCCCTTCGGAAAAGAGGTTGTTTGACGTTGAAAAACGCCATTGGATGATGCATCATCATTTCCAAAGTCGGATCGTAGACGTGGTACATTCAAAAATGTTTCGCAGACATCTTCAGCGAGTATCGCCATTATTACCACCATTCAACAGCTCGTCAAAGAGACAAACGTCGGGAATGTACCACATCCACGGTCATACTTTGCAACTGCTCACGCATACGATGCACTCCGGACTCGGTGCGTTCCTCTACGTCGTCCTACCAACATGACTAAGTTGCGAAAACAAGGTCAAACAACGTGAATACAACGAAAGGAGACTGCGACCACACAAAAGGCCAAACCATCTTGGTCTTCATGCCTTCGATTAATCCCTTTGTAAGTAACTACTACTCATTCACTACTCACTAAGTGATCACTCATTTTCTCAACCCTCTCAATTGTTGAGCTTACTTCCATTTCAAGTGAAAGTATTGCGTGAAGATATTCGAAGATCGGTTCCACAAGATGACCAGCTTTCGATTGGCTTTACTGGAAGATTCATGCTGACGCTGTTTCCGAGGCCGTCTCCTTCGATTCCGGTGAAAGGGTGTCCGTCATGTGGCGAACATCATCAGAGCGAGGTAACATCATCACCACAAAATTGAAGCTAACGAGTCAAGAAAACTCACCGGCAAATCCCTAAAAAGTGGTATATACACTCTACATCTGGCCTCTTTGATCAAGTATAAAGTGATTTGATTAGTTACGATCACATGACAACTTCGATGCCTGTAAGCGTGTCTGTCTCTGTATGTGTATGTGCCTGTTTGTGTTCGCTTATGCACGAAACCCGCAGTGATGGCTCAGAGTAATTATGACAGCAAAAAGGAACGTCGGATTTTGGCCATCAAGGTTTAAAGATCCCTATCTTCCTCTTTCTACAAACATTTTATAACCATCACTCCGATTGTGAAAGGTCGGACACTCGTCTGATTGTGTTGATGAGCCTTTTTTTGGTTTGTGTTCTAAATGCGAGAGAGAAAGAGTGAGCTAAAAGTACAGAGAAGTGACTATGATTAGAACCAAGACAAGAAAAGATAGCTGCATCACCTCCTTTTTGCAGGCGGCTCAACTCGCTCTCTATTCTTCAGTTTATTAATAAGGCACAATTAATTTTTACTTATCTTCTTGCCGGATATAGACTATATTTACCACTTTTTAGGCATTTGCCGGTGAGTTTTCTTGACTCGTTAGCTTCAATTTTGTTGTGACGATGTTA